GATGGGGTTTAGTGAAGTTAACATTTGCAAATGATAATATACGCGTAACGAACATGTTAACGAAGATGATAAGTACAGTCAATAAAGCAACAGGTAAACAAACAACCACCCAAGAACGGATGACTTGCTCTCCAAAAACTGAGGCTAAATAACCGGAGTGTCAAGAGCCATTCATTGAACCCACAACTTACCAAACACCGATTGTTGCAGAGATAAATCTCTGAGATAATTCGTAATTTCGATAGAAATTTGCGCTTGATGGATTAGGAAATAGATGTACATTGGCTAGTTCACTCTGCACTGTTCACATTGCAAAACCTAGTTTCGTTTTACATAGACATCTAGAGGGCAAATAACATTCGAGTGCAACTGCCTTTTGAACTGTTGTCTGTATCTGAGAATGGGAGAAGAACGTGCGACAAGTGAATGATGGCAGTGAAATCAACTGAAACAAACACGATAACTCAAGTATTTTATTTATGTCAAATTGAAACCTCAAAAATTCAAATCATTCAACAAAAACAACAACAATCGAAATGCACAAATATTAGGAAAAAAANAAAAAAACACGTATGAAAAATCGTTATTATTCTCATTAATATAAAAACATTTCCGATAAATTTCGCCAAATTAACACTAAATTTACTGCATAGACTAAATACATAGATCATTTACACAGTACACCTCACATGTATAGTACAAATTATTTAAGATTATCATAAGATTTTATTCAATCAGTTATAAGGCGAAGATGATTGAGGCAAAATATGAACACACACGCGCATTCTTTGCTACTTGGTAGCAAAACAATGATCAAAATCTTCATATTCTACGGTGGAGGTAATTAAGGTTTACTGCTAACGATTTAGAAGATTTTAGTGTCACTATTTAGGGGATTAATTCATTTTCTAGGATGCTCTATAACGGTTCTTTTCAAAGAGTCAATCTACATGAATGATGTTGAGGGAGAAGAAATCAGCCATCAAGAGTTTTGATAACAATGAAAATAAACTGACGAGAACCGAAAAGATGCAGCGTTTAGTTTAAATTTGAAAACAATGAAATTGTCGTGAACAATTATTAGCAGCCGTAAAATGGTTGCATACGATTGCAAACGAATGAACAGAACTCGAACAAAGAATGCTCTTCAGGCACAATTGATCATGTCAGCTGAACCAACAACACATATTTACAACAACATCATTGAACACAACAAATCAATTTGAAACGTTATTTCAAACGTCAGAATACCACATCATCAGTATGCAAACAACAATGTGCACTTCAAATAATCTCCAATAACAGCTGCTCATGTTTAGCTAATCGGCGAGAGGATTGCTTCAAATTGCTCCAGTGTTCGTTAGTACTAGCGAGGAAAATGAAAATACAAAGCATACTGTTTTAAGTGAAGCAGCCCATTTAATGGCCATTTTTTTTGTTGATCAGTGACAGAAATGGATTCTCCTAAATCGTAATCGAAGAACTTTCAAACGAAGTTCCCTGCTTCTGTTCGTATNATCAGTGACAGAAATGGATTCTCCTAAATCGTAATCGAAGAACTTTCAAACGAAGTTCCCTGCTTCTGTTCGTATGCGTACAAATACAGCAACCAATTAAATAGTCATATGGAAATGTGGCGCATCTGGGAATGAAAAATACGAATGAATGAACGAATAATTGACAACAATTAGAAAAACATCAAATAGATTTAGTAATACAATCAATATTACTGAACAAGCCAACAGAAAAACTCAAAACAAACAAATAATCAGTGCTCATGAAACACTGAGTTCATTGAATACGAACATAATCGACATTCATCAATTATTGGTGCACCGGGAAACAATTCACAAACACAAAGAAAACGTAAACAAAACTCAACAATATTTCACTCAATCAAATTCTAACAATTTTCAATAAAATATTTATACCCTGATTGTTGCAGGCAATGCAAATGAAATCCAGGCTATATTGAAATCGAAAATGGTAAACATCGAATGCTCTCGATACACGTGAACTGTTAACTTTATAAACACCCGGCAACGAAAAAGCAGTGATCAGAACGCGTTAACAGATCACGACAAGTTGAGAAAACGATTGAACGTAAGTGCTTTTGGGACCATGAAAGATGCCATGATACTTCTCGTTACATCTGATTATTTTCATCTCAGAAGTAACGAGAAGTATGTGTTGATTTCAAAAGCGTGTTACTTCTGAAGAGCGATCCAAAAAATGAATCTGACCGCACTGTATGGCACAGTATATTCGATGATTACCAAAAGTTCAAATTCAATTCAATCAAGCAAAATTGACGTGATCGAACCACTAAAAATCCTTCGAAAATGGAACTACCGGAGTTTTGAGACTCTCCGGACTTCGACTGCTCACAAATCCACGACCGTAATTTGGGCATCCTTGGCCATTCAAATTCATCGCAGCACCAAGAAATGGCATTAGTGGCGACATCATTGCTGCGGTTGCCATTGCGGCCATTTGCGATGGGTTGGGTGGGAATTGGAAAACGGGTTGTTGAATAGCAGCCGCGGTGGGGGTGAGGAGTTTGGTGCTCGTAGTGGCCGCAGCCATCGGTGAATTCAAAGCAGCGCCGAGCATTGGACTGACTGCAGTGGTGAGAAATGATGTGAACGGACTTGACGGACACATCAGACCAGCTGACAAGGACGCTGCCGCGTACAACTGACTGAACTGCGTGACCAGCGGTGAGGTGGCTGCATACGCGTTCTGATTGTTGTGAAGGAAGAATGGTGATGGCACTAGAAGATTGTTTCCTGAGCTTGGTGCTTGAACCTCGGGTATGGCGGGATTACACGATGTCGATGACGGCAAGGTGGCCGACGAACTAGATGAAAGCGCACTGGCGGCTGACAGATTAAGCGGACGTGGCTTAACCCGTTTTAATGAAGGCGTTTGTGAAGAGGTCATTTGAGCGGTGCTCGATTGTGGTTGTGCTAATTTGGATTCTTGTTTGATCATCGTTGACATATTGCTCTCAATTGATCCTCCTCCAGCAACACTACCATTTGCATTTGCAGAAGATGAGAATGAAATGGATTTAGAGAGCATAACTTGTGGATTAGATGCATTGTTTTGGCTAGTTGTTGACGGAACCGGTGTAGATGAGTGATGCTGCTGCATTGTATTGGTATGACTGAGGTTGGTCATACTAC